CTTCTTGCCTTGAAAGGAGGTGCGAGAATGGGTGGGCGGGTGGGAGGCCTGCTCATGTTTTGTCGAGGGCCTTGGTTGTTGACCACGCGTCTTCGAGAGGACGGAGCATGGTTCCCACACCACTGATGGCCAACCGTGCCTTACTACTTTGCCACAGGAGGCCCAAAGACTTTCACTATCCCATCCTTCTAGCACGGGTTGGTGGGTGGGGGTAGGGAGTTCAGGGAGTTCATCGTATCAAGCGAAGGGATACGCTTCTGCGGGACGCCGGGAAACCGTGACCGTCGAGGCTGATGCTAGCCGTCATTCTACCCGCATCGGTGCTTGTAGAAAGGAGGTGGACATGTCGTCGCTGAAGATGTAAGGCTAAGCCACTTTCGTTTCGTGATGAATAACCTGGCCCCGCCTACTTCTGTCGCTCGCTGTCTCCACCTTCCCTATGGTGTAGTCTGGCTCAGCCGAATCAACAGATGAGCCCCGATTCACCGTCACGCAAAACGCGTTCCCTCTAGACATGAAAGCAATAATCAACGCGATGCAAAATGCACCCAAAAACGTTCGCGTCAAGGATCCGGGCGAATCTACATGCCATCATTAGGACACGTCGGGAAAAGTAGAACGGAGAAAAACACGTACACATGCCCACGCCGTTCAACACAGAAAACACTACGGGACTCTCCAAAGCCCGCTCCTCAACTTCGGCGATTCCCATTTCCCTTGGAGAAAACAAGTCTCTCCGTAGAGAAGCCGCATAATTCAATGCACGAGCACGCTCGACTGCTACACATGGGTGATGCGGAATCGCGCCAACAGCAAGGGCGGAACAAGCATCGAGCGAATGCTGCGTGTCCCATCTTACCAGAGTCGGGCGTGAGGTTCCCGGTAACGACCGGGGCTGTCATCGCGATGTTTTCCCCAGCATCTCCCCCGGCGATCTTGTTCGCCGGGTTGCCGAAGACCCCAATATACTGTTTCCATGTAAGCGTGAGCGAGAAAGGGAAGGGGGGGTGCTATCTTCAGTGCTGGCCGCCGGAGAGGCCAGTTGATCATCGACCACGCACATCTTCTTGTGGGTCAGGTTTGTCTCGTTTCGGGTGGGGGGTGTTGTTTGCGACCGATCGTCGCGTTCCTCCGAGCTGCATCGTCACGCAGCACTACAGAACCCCAGAAAAAACAACAACGCAAAAATGAACTGTTAAAGGGTGAAGAACACCACCGTGCAATGACCCGTCCGTCCCTCGTCGACAGGTAAGGTAGGCATCCAACTTCTTGTGAATTCGCACGCAGACGTTCTCTAACCTTCTCTAACCAAGACGCACAAATGGCGTGCGCGATATGGCGTTTGAGACAAGCATTCGGTGCCACTCTATGAGACTGTTTCGAGTACTGCGCAAGAGCTGCAGGTATCGCGCTGGCGCTCGCTACGGCTGATTGATGCGCCGACTGTGTCTTAAGCACACCAACCCAGTCTCGAGAGGTACATAGAGTTCTCCAACGGGTAGTGTTTCTGTGACTAACATATTTTTTTAAAGAGAAGTACAAAGAGAGGGTAGGTTCATGAAAGGAATCGCGGTACACTGCTGCTGGAGATGTAGAGGAGACAGGCACGAAAAACATTCAAGCGCCCTCGCAGCAGGTTCCCTTCATGGTTGCCTCAAGGATGCTTGTGATCGAGGCATCACAATTGCGAGGTTGCTCCTGCACTCATGTCAGGTGTCGCACCACAATCAGCCAAGACCCAAAAACAAATGCCGCTTACTCGAGATGATCATCCACAGGTCATTGGGCCCATGATGCCTTCGTCGACATACCAGAGGGGGGATGGCGTAATCCCCGAACAAGCAGCACAGTCGGTTCAAGGTTACGACAAATCTGAGGGCTTCGCTATCCATGATCGGCCCCAAGGAACCCTGCTGTTACTTCTCTGCAAGTCTGCTTTCGAAGCCTGTCTGAAAGTCCAGCTCCAGATCCGGCAATGTGCACCGTCGACGTTTCTCGGAGTAGGAGACATCATTAGAAGTGGATTCACCCCGCGTTCGTTCCATCTATTTTGCTGTTGACGTTTGCTCGGAGAAGGGAGCACCTTTGAGTGTTTCTGGACCGCGCCGATCTTACATTATCCCCCCTTCCCATCACGTCCAGCGCCACCCCACTCTTCACAGAGACTACTGAAGAGTGTAGAGACAGACGGCAACGTCGTCTTTCTCGCCATGCAGACACTGCAAAGATCAATGTTCTAGAGGGGCTGGCCCTGTTCACAGGGGGTGAAAAGTTGTCAAGTTCACCCAAATGAGCATAAACTACAATCGTTACGACGGCATCAACATATTCCAACACTGCCCGTGATATTGTTGCTTCGACATTATTCACCGCAACCGTTGACGCGTTCACACCTTCTCTCTGTTGCTCTTTAGGTAGCTGCGAATTGCAGGAAAATGAACATGATCCACGTGGCTGAGCTCTGACGCAAATAGTCCGCACGTCGCTATCATCATCACAAGCACAAAGAACGTTTGTTCTACTCCCTGTGCTTCTCCTTGTCCAATGCCGACTCCCCTTCTCTGACCTTGGCCAGCGTCCTGAATCGGTCATCCTCGGAGCCCTCCCCGGAGCTCTCCACCTCGGCGACGACATAGCTGTCGTAGGCGCGAAGCTCGTAACTGGCTCCATGTCCGAGAACAGTGTATTCGGGAACGGGTGTGTTCCCCTTTCCGACGACTCCGCCCATGATGGAACGGAAGGAAGCTCTCTGCTGCGCGAGGAGCCTGTGGATGGCTATGCTTCTGCTGTTGCAGAATCTAGTGGAGCTGTGGAGGTCCAAACGTGGTTGTTTTGTGCGGGGGCAGGGAATTGTCAAGTGTGTGTGTGGTGTGGTGTCAAGTGGTGTGTAGCTATCAAGTACGTGGTTGATGCTCCGTGAAGTATACAAGGATACCCATGCTATGCATGCCTAGCCGCGAAGCCCCCTCCTCCTCGGAGGGCGAGCCCAACACCCTACGGCCAGAGCGGTTGACTTTCATCACGCAAAAGCAAGCACCGGAGCCCGTCCGCACGCCCTCCCTGCAGGAAAGTCTCTTGCACCACCTCAGTTACACCCAGAGGAAAGGGGCGGGGAGAAAGAAAGAAAGAGTGCCGGTGGGGGAGTAGAGAAATGTTCGAGCAAAAGGAGATGATCGCAAGATGCGCGGGCAGCACGACGCGTGTAGCATCAACACCCTCCTCGCCCGCGAGCAGCCGACGGCCGAGGGTTAGCCGCAGACCCGGCGGGCTTGGGTTCTGGCTGGTGGCAATTCTTGTGGGGACTAGCTGCGGCGGCGCCCGAGGGCAGCAGGATGACTACGACTACGGCGGGTACGCCCAGCAGCAAGCCCCGATGCGAGCTGGGTGAGGAGAGAAAAGTAGCTAAAACAACAACCCTGTTTGCTGATTCATTCATTCATGTGCTGCTGTTCCCGACCTGCTGCGTGTGTTGAACTTTGGGATGGCAGTACGGGTTGGCTTGATGTCGAGGAGAACCCCCGACCCCGCATGCATTCGATATCAAAAGGGTGATAATGCGCCTGCTGCGGTGTTTTTTTTTCTGTCTGTAGCTTGTGATGTGCTTGCTCTTTGTTGCATGTCCCCGCCTGTGCTGTCCTGTGTGTGCGTGCAAAGAGAGCGGCCGGGGGCAGAGCCACACACTTTTTCGCTCTCCTTCCCATGTCTCCGGCAGCGGTTGATGGGCCACGTACGGTCCTGGATGCTCGTTAAGCGATAGTCACCTACCTTCCGCAAGAGAGAACGTGAGGTAACCAACACAAATGTCATATGCACCCTGTTTTACACCCACCAGGCATCATGTGTGTGCGAAGGTCCACATCCGTTCGCTGTATTCAAGTAATCTTATCTTATCTTGGTGAATGATGGTATCGGGCGGCCCGTTCTGTCCGAACGGCCAACGGCTACTACCGAGATCGCTCGCCCAACAAACCAGCAGCACGCCCGTGATAGATAGAGGATGCGCAAAAAATGTTTTGGCGTCCCAGCGAAGCACCACTGCTGCTGTGTGGTTTTATCTCCATTGCATACCGCACACACTAGCTCAACGTCTCGTTCCGGATTCGATGCGCACCGTCAGTTACATGCGCCTACCGCGCCTTGGTTCCCCGCCCATGCTGGTAGCGCTACCCTCCTAACACAATCTGCACCATTCAATTATGTACATTGGACACGAATAAAATACCGCACACAGCAGCCGGTAGTAACGCACCGCACGAGCCTGGATGTACGGATGATTGCAAATGATTGGACAGAAGATACAAGAGAGATCGTTAAAAATGAAATGGGTCCAAGGTGATGATGTCCGTTGGTATGATGCGTGGGCGTCACCTGTACTGCCGAGCGAGTGCTCCAAGTATACAAATATCAACATGGTGTGACACAGACGCCGGATCCATCAGTGGATGGTGTGAACCAGCGGGTTCAACCCGTCCCGCTTTTGTTGTTTTGTACCCGTTTTGAGTTTTGTGTCAGATCTCGATTGCGGTTGAGAGCGCAACCAGGTGCCCAGCTCCGTTCCAACACTACATTTTGGTTTTCACGGCGAGGAAGAGAACCTACCGCAGGTCGCGAAAGAAAACACCCCCCCCCCCCCCCCCCCCCCCCCCCCCCCNGTCCGGTGAGAACCCGGCGTGCTCCGTCCCGGCTTTGTAGGGATGCGAGGTCAATGGTCTAACGACTACGGCATGCATGACTATGAGTACACACACACACAAAGACTGACGTCTTTTCATTGGTCAGCCGAATAGCGCGGTCGATGCTAATAATAAACATACACACACACAAATTAACCCTTTANCCGAATACCTCACGGCGCTTCGCGCTTGGTGATGTAAGAGCCTGGTCCGGGTGAGAACCCGGCGTGCTCCGTCCCGGCTTGGTAGAGATGCGAGGTCAATGGTCTAACGACTACGGCATGCATGACTATGAGTACACACACACACAAAGACTGACGTCTTTTCATTGGTCAGCCGAATAGCGCGGTCGATGCTAATAATAAACATACACACACACAAATTAACCCTTTAGCTGTCCTCCGCTCTTCGCATCAGTGGCTTCCTAGGTTCGGGCGAGGGCATGTGTGGAGCTATGGCAATGTATGTGTTGCTATTTTGTTTGAGTCACCTAGCTGCTGACACTTGGGAGTGCACGATTATCAAATTGGGAGATGCAGCATACCACGATATCTGGCTTCGGCTGGGCTTGAATTATCCCTTTTGCTGTCCTCCGCTCTTTGCATCAGTGACTTTCTAGGTTCGGGCGAGGGCATGTGTGGAGCTATGGCAATGTATGTGTTGCTATTTTGTTTGAGTCACCTAGCTGCTGACACTTGGGAGTGCACGATTATCAAATTGGGAGATGCAGCATACCACGATATCCTGGCTTGGGCTGGGCTTGAAGTAAACCCTTTTGCTGTCCTCCGCTCTTTCCATCAGTGGCTTCCTAGATTGGAGCGAGGGCATTTGTGTAGCTGAAATGTGTGTCTGCGTGAAAGAATATGTAGAGAAAGTCGTATTGGCATTCGCATCTAACGCATTGCGCGTTTTTCGAATTTTGGTCCCTTTGCAGGGACCTTGATTTTTACCCGCTGGCACTGACGTCTTTCAATTGGTAAGCCGGTTAGCGCGGTCGATGCTAATAATAAAAAAACACACACACGCACAACGGGACCGGTTTCCAAAGCTCGATTACTCCGCGACTAAAAAACGATAACTCCAAATTTAATTATGCCGCATGTTTTTGAATTATTTCGGTTCGACGGTTCCAACGCCGCCATTTTCCGCACCGTCACGGTTGCCGCTGCCGAGTAGTCGATACCCGAGAGTGAGGCTTGGGAATACGCAGGAAACCGATGCAAAACATGAGTACGCCCCTCGATTATATCCTGTTTTTTTGGGCCGGCAGTGGCGGTGGAGAGGGAGGCGGCCTGATGAAGCCGCTGGCGGCCGTGGCGACGAGCTTCGTGGCAATGAAGCTGCTCTTCTCCCACCACAGGAAGAGGAAGGGCATCAAGGCACTGGAGCAGGTACGGGAATTATTTTAAACCCTCGGTGGTTTCCTTCTCGTCCAACAGCGGTCGATGCTCGGGAACGCATGGTTTTTGTAAAAGTGTTCGGCGGGTGACCAGACGTTAACACCCTAGCAGCCGATCCTTGTGGACTTTTGTACGGGGACAGGGGACTCCGTGACTTCATTAGATCGAACATATACCCCCAGACTGCGTGTATCATGCCGACAGCCGTGCACACCAAACAGGGTGATTGCGTCTTGGGCGCCCAGACTCTCGTCGGGAGACAAGATGCGACTGCGGTAAGTGGCGCTACGTATGATGTCAGCCCCCCCTGAAGAGTGGTTTGTAGAACTCTATGGCTCTACAGCAGAGAGATATTGGGTGCCGAGGCTCTCGTTGGGAAGACAGAGGTAAATGCCATGGGTCACGTATGATATCACACCTCCTGAATATTTTTTTTCATAGCTCTACATCGGGAGAGAGAGCGAGAGAGTGGTGGTGGTGCATACGATGGGGGTGTTGGAACCGTCTCGCTGGGAGCTTTCGAAACATGTGTCATGACTGTACGGTACGTCGCGGAGCAATCGAGCTTTGATTTTCGGTCCAGGAGTGGGATGTCTTACTTCACCTACGGTAGATCGGCAGGTCGGGAGCCGTGAGGCAAGCAGTTGAGCTCAAGCTTGCGGACAGACGGGTGGGATGATATGCTTATTTCATTGGCCGTCCGACTGCAGAGAGGACAGGCAGGCGGTCAGAGGGCCACGGGAATATAATTGCAGGGGCAAGCTGCTCAGAGAAAGAGAAATTTGTGTTTTGATTTTCACCGACAGGCTGAGAATAGCCTTGGACTGCTAAGGAAATGCACGCCATTGGAAATATTTTCTTCGTGGCCCAGAGTCGAGGGTCAGGCTCACAGATGGTGGAGCCCTGGGCGAGCGGGCATGGTGTTTGAAGTCGCGTTCCCAGAACGATGCCCGAAAAGTAACTGTCAGCACAGGGGAGTATAGAAAGAAAGTTTGTTCGCCAAGACGTGAGCGCATTATCTCCCATGATTCCTCCGTCCCCGCCTGCTGTTCTCAATCCGACTGTTGGCATGAGAACCAGTTCTTCGAGAACTGACTACTTCGTGTGGATGTATGATAGCTCCCCTTGTTGATATCCCCCTGCTCTCACCCCGCCGCCAACTTGGTTGTGGTTATGTTTGTGCCAGGAGAGAAAGAAGTGGGTGCAGATGAAGAAAGAGGACCTGCAGCAGATCAACCAGCAGTTCAACCAGATGGAAGCGGTAAGCGAACTTTGTCGGGTCCCTGGACGTCTAGCGTGCTTGCCGGTAATTTTCTTCGCAAACGCAATGCTGTATTATTCTGAGAACGCAGCAGCACAACTCGTGGCAGAAACTTGGGGCGATTACTGTCGTTTCGTTGGCCACCGAAAGCTGCCCTTGTTGAGTACCGTCGTTTGCACAAGATACCAAACCCCCTGGACCGATCTTGGCCCGATTAGATTACTCCACGAGGAAGAGGGTGTGTCGAAATCAAACGATGCCGTTTTCAGAAGACGAGACGGTTCTGACGCCGCTGTTTTTGGCACCACCACTGCCTTTCCTGCGGAGATATCGAGCTTCGAAAAGCGGTCCAGAGGGTGTGCTATCTTTTGCGTCCTAGGTGCTTGGTGAAGCAGAGGTACCCCAGTAGCGGCGTTGCCAGTTCAGTTTGTGTGTGCGCGCTAACTTATGCTCACACTTCATCATGACACCGGAAGTGGTCCCGACTTATAGCAAGCCGTATCGTGAAGATTAGTAATCATTGAACTATACATGTTGAC